GAACCCCATTTAGAAATAAATAAGACATCTTAACATAGAGTTTATGGACAAGAGATAAATCAATAAAAACATAGAAATGCTTGATGCCACTCGAGTAAATCCAGATGAAAACCACAATTATGTGTACCTGGATACATGTTGTAATTTCTCTACTTAAAACATAAAAGTGGTGTTATAAAATCTTGCCAAGAATATAGACAGCTCAAACATCACACATTGTTGACAAGAATGAAGGAGGATTTAGCGACTATGCAAAAGCAATCAGGCAGTCTCTTACAAATTTAAACAAAGGCTTATTATGTGGCCCAGCAATCACACTCTTAAGCATTTACCCAAAATAAATGAGAACAGCTCTTACAAAACACTGCATGGAAGTCTGGTCATAATTGTCCTCAACTGGAGCTGAGGATATGCTCAATTATTAATATGCGGGCTCTGCAAACACGAGGACCTGAGTTCAATCCTCAGCACCCACCTAATAGGTCCAGTGTGGCAGCACACACCTCTACTCTCACCGTGAGAGAGGCAGACTCACTGACCAGTCAGAGTAGGCAGATCAGTGAACCCCAGACCTCAATGACAGAGCTGTCTGGGGAAACAAGGTGGATGTCAATACCTGAGGCTGAACTCTAACCTCCACACACATGTGCACATATGTGCATCTGAACATACGCACACACACTCACCCCCAAACTGGAAACAAATGTCTCTATTAACAAGGTTGACTTTCAAATATATATTGAAAAGTTTGGAAAGCTCACAGGAGACATGTCACATGAGTCAATTTCTGTGACTCTCTTAGAAAAATGAAACTCTGCAGTCTAAAAGCAAGTCAGTGCTCTTCAGTGAAAACAGGATAGAGGAATTTTGAGGGTAATTAATTTTTTTCTGTCATGGTGGAAATGGATTATATGACTCTATAGATATGAATTAACAACCATAGAATTATATACAGTGTAGAAGTCCAATTTTACTGCATAAATAATTTAAAATATCTTAAAATGTTATAAAAGAAGTTAGAATAACATCAAAATATTTTCCATGCCATAGGAGGAAAAGAACATTTGGTGCCACTGCTTTCTGAAAAGCCAAGGAAAGCTATTTATTTGTAACAAAAAAATGTGAAATTAAAAGCTCGTAAAATTAATTGCCTCCAGAATAATATCATAAAAACTTGTAAGTAGTTTTTGGCCAAAGGTAATGAGCTCAGACTAAAAGATCTGGAGAGAGAAATCACATGCCCATAAACCACATAGTGGATAAATTATGGGATGGACACTCAATGGGTACAGAGCGATGTTGTGGACTATTAGTTTAAGATGTACTACACATTCGTTTATGCAATGGAATATTTGTTTAATGATGCAAAGATATGTCGCATTTTTATTTTACTTTTAAATTTGCTTATTTTTTATTTACTTATTTTTGTTTCTTTATTAAGAAATTTTTATTCATTTTACATACCTACTACATAACCCCTTCTCTTCTTTCTGCTCCCTGCCCAAACTCTCCTCCAAGCCACACCCCCATTTCCTTCTCCAGAAAGGTAAGACCTCCCATGGGGAGTCAGCAAAGCCTTGTAAAGTCTGTTGAGGCAGGTCCAGTCCCCCTGGCATCAAGGCTGGGTAAAGTATCCCACCATAGGTAATGGGCTCCAAAAAGCCAGCTCATGCCCCAGGGATAGATCCTGATCCTACTGCTGGGGGGCCCTTAAGCAGATAAAGCTACATAAGTGTCTCACTTGTGCAGAAGGCCTAGTCCAGTCCCATGCAGGCTCCACAGATGTTGGTCTAAAGTTCATGAGTTCACACTAGTTCAGTTTGGTTGTCTCTGTAGGTTTCTCCATCATGATCTTGATGCCCTTTACTCATAGAATCCCTCTTTCCTGTCTTTGGATTCCTGGAGCTCAGCCTGGTGCTTGGCTGTGGATTTTTGCACCTACCTCTATCCCTTACTGGATGAAGGCTCTATGATGACAGTTAGGGTATTCACCAATCTGATTACTGGGGTAGGTCAGCTCAGGCACCCTCTCCACTACTGCTAGTAGTATAAGCGGGGGTCATCCTTGTGGATTCCTGGGAACTACCCTAGTACCAGGTTTCTCCCTATCCCCATGATGTCTTCCTTTATCAAGATATCTCTTTCATTGCTCTCCCATTCTGTCCCTACTCCTAAATTGTTGGTGGGAAAGCAAACTTGTACAGCCACTTTTGAAATCAGTATGGCGGTTTCTCAGAAAATTGGGAATCAATCTACCTCAAGACCCAATGATACCAGTCTTAGGCATATAGCCAAGGAATGCCCAATCATACCACAATGACACTTGCTCATCTATGTTCATAGCAGCATTATTTGTAATAGCCAGAACCTGGAAACAATATAGATATCCCTCAACCAAAGAATGGATAAAGAAAATTGGTATACATACACAATGGAGTACTACTCAATAGAAAAAAAACCACCACAACAACAATGACATCATGAAATTTGCAGGCAAATGGATGGAATTAGAAAATATCATCCTGAGTGAGGTAACCCAGACTTATAAAGACAAACATGGTATATACTCACTCATAAGTGGATACTAGATGTAAAGCAAAGAATAACCAGATTACCACCTACAGCTCCAGGGAAGCTAGCTAACAAGGAAGATACCAAGAGGGACTCATGGATCACCCTGGGAAGGAAAAATAGATGACATCTCCTGAGTAAACTGGGGGAGAGGGGGGCAATAGATGGTAAGAGATGGGGGATGAGAACATAAGGGAATAGGATAATCATGTTGCATTCTTTTATGTTGCATTTATTTAACTCTGTAAAGCTGTGTTACTTTGTCTGCCTAAAATACCTGATTGGTCTAATAAAGAGCGGAATGGCTAATAGCTGGGCAGGAGAAAGGATAAGCAGGGCTGCTGGTCATAGAGAATAAATAGAAGGAGAGAGGAGGAGCAAGAATAGGAGAAGGAGGGAGGACACCAGGGTCCAGCCACCCAGCCATACAACCAGCCACAGAGTAAGAAGGAAAATAAGGTATATAGAATAGAGAAAGGTAAAAGCCCAGAGGCAAAAAGTAGATGGGATAATGAAGGAAAGCTGGCTCGAAATAAGTCAAGATAAGGTCAGGCATTCATAAGTAAGAATAAGTCTCCATGTATTTATTTGGGAACTGGGAGGTAGTCCCCCAAAGACTTTAAAAAAAAAACAGAGTGATGTAAACAAAACTTTGCTGTAGTATAGTCAAAAGCCTTGACAAACCTCACAGACACTGCATGATCCCATTTACGGAGTGTCGGCACTAGGTATTTTTGTGTTGCTGTGACCAAAGATGGGGGAAGACTTATTTTCACTCAGCTTCACAGGCTTCAGTCCAGCATTTCTTGCCTTTGTGCATTGGATAAAACAATATGGCAGCAGGGATATGTCATGGAGGATGGCTGTTCATGGCTAGCTAGGGAGCAGAGAACATGACAGACACATCAAATAGATCCAAGGATTCCTAGGACAACAGACTTCCACCAGCTAAACTCTATAACATCCCCCCAAAAAATCGAATAGAAAATAAAATGTGAGTGTGTGGGGGACTGTGTTAAAATTCATTCCCAGCTTGAGAGGGTTTAGAATCACCTAGAAATAATGAAAGGAACTAAAAGAGATTTCACACTCAACTCACAGTAGTGTCTTCTTGTCCAGCTTGTAGTGCTGAAGATCCAGGTCATATGGAACCCCCCAGACCAAGACAGCCTCATCTCAAATCTAGCCACACAATCATACAACCATAACCAAGACAAGAGGCTGCTTACTGCTGGTTCACAGTTTGAGTTTAAACAGGGCGAGAAAAAAAATCTTTATTGAACCCCGACACATAAAAGGGGAGCAAGAAATTTTGCAGTGTGGAAATTCTTTCTTGAGCTAAAATCTGTGCGTAAAGATTCCTCAGCTACACATCGAAAGGTAACTGAGTTATATATCTGCCTTATGAATATTACGCCCCAAAGAAATTTCAAACCTAAAGCTATCTCTTCTACTTATTGACTGACTACATGGCCTTGTCTGTTTCTTCAAATGGTTTGAGCTGAGCTTTCTCACACGTGTAAGGAAAGTCAAGGCAGTAATTTCCATGAGTGAGGGTGATCCGGGTAAGGTGCCCAGCATGTAGTAGATACATAACTAGTTTTGTGTCACATCTCAACAAACCTGAGGGGAATTTTCTGTCAGTGGAATTTCACTTACTAGACTGAGTGCTGTGTAAACTTGTGGGTCCTTTCCTTCCCCTGTTCTTGGCAAGCACCACCTATTATAAAAAAAAAACAAAGCAGGCAGCTGCAACCCACAGGGATGGGAAGGATAATGGCCAGCAATCTTTTGAGTATATTGCGTTGAGGTAATGTATGGACCTACTTCATCCCCTTACTTTTGTGCCCGATGGAATAAAATGTTCAGACCTCTTTTAAGTCCAATTTCCTGAGCACCTAGAAACATCTGTGAACCTGACTAGGGATTCTTGTGACTTCTGAAAGCTTATGGCAAAGGGCCAGGGATTCTGTGGATGCCCACACTGACACAGTACAGTGTTCTTGGTTCTCCACACGCAAATCTTTGCATCATTTCTGGGAAAAGTTTATATCATAATTAAATATACAAAAGTATATTCTTTATAGAATAATTCTAAATTGAATTCTGTAAGCATTAAGATTAATCAGGGGAGATTTAAAAATCAGTGGTTTATTAACAGCTTAATTTTATTTCAACCAACATATACAAATCAGAAAAATTATATTATTTATGGAGTACTATGATGTGTGTTACAATATACATATACATTGTGTAGTGTTCAAGCTGGGGTAAGCATATAAACCTTGGTCATTTGGCATTTTTTTATGGTTGAAACATCTAAATATTTCTTTGTAAATATATAAATGCAGTGTGAAGTGCTATCATCAGCTATGGTAACCCAAGTATACCATAGCACACCAGAAGCTCTTGATCCCATCTGAACATACCTTTCTCCATTGCCCCCACTCTGCCTAGCCTTTGCTAACCCCACGCTGTCGAGTTCTTTATGTTCTACATGAGTAAGCTGAGGCAATGCTACTCTCTCTATAGATTCTATAGAATCTTCATTTCTATCTGTGTCACATATGATAGGATCTCATTGTGCTGTGAGATGTGTCTATGATAGCTTCTTTGTGTTTTTACAATGCCAGTTGCCACATAAGGTAAACGTAGAACTTAGAATCTGATTTGGTTCTAATTCTAGCTCTACTCTATAAAACTCTAATCTGTCCAGGTAATATAACTTTCCTTTATCTGATCACTGGGAATCAATTATACTTAAAAATCCCTAGATATTCATGAAGATGTGTCCCCCACAAAGGTAATCAACATCTCTTCCATAGTCCTTGTGTCACCTATGGAAGGCTTATGCTTTCTTCCTCACTCCAGTGCTCTGAGAAGCTATTCAACAGTGCTCACCTTGAGTTGAGATAGAGAAGCCATGGGTAAAGTGGTAATAGCCTTACCTCATCCTCTTCAACCAGTCCAGACACATACGCATGTCTGGGGCCCATGCTAATGTTCCACTTTGCTCCTGTGCTTTGGCCTTGATACAGGGCTTTACCACTGGGAAGGGCTGTGCACATTCAGTGCATGAGCCCTTGAGAAATGCTAAATAGCAGAGCCATTAATTGCCTCAAGGAATTAGCCGATGCTTGCTTGCTTCTGGGAAAATCAATAGGTTCTTGCCAGGTTTCCGAAATGAAGCAACTGAGCCTTATAGAGCACTGAAGATTAAGAACTGACATTTCTTTGCCCCCGCTGCTTTTGTATCGTTATGTCTCAAAAAAGGAATGAGTACATATTACAGACCCTGGTTCAGAGCAAGACAGGCCAGTGTATTATATTAAAATGAATTTGATTCACTGCATACAGAGACATAGTCACATGCTTTAGTAATTGGAATTCCATTTGTGACATTTAATCTACTGATTTGATGCTGGAAGTAACAGAAACTTTAGCTTTTTTGAAATGTGTGGCTTGAATTGAAAGCACTGGGGCTTTTACAACCTCTGTCAACTTCTTAGTTGTTTTAAAATGCTTGATTCAGTCAATTATTTAGAACACCCACTAGGAAAATAGTTTTAGTGGTCAGCACCATTGTTCAGCTCCCCCATTTCTGGATGTTGAGAGGGTGGTAGATAATTTAGAGCTAAGGAAATACATTTTGTGATATGATGCTGTATCCTCTGCAATGCCCAGAACTCCATTTCCTCACCTAAGACCTTCCATCCTGATAACAAAGTAACTCTGACTCGTTGCCCCCTCTGTTCTGTCCTCAATGCCAGAGTTATGATTTAAACATGATAAGCTCCCCCACCTGTTCCTATGGGTTGCACATCTACGGGTATTCAAGAGGCTGTAGAACTTTTAGGAGGCCAGGTCTCTTAGGTTATAACCTGGCTCTGGTTTGGGTCTGAATTCAATCCCTGATTCCTGACTTGTCCAGATGTGATTATGATTCTGTCACCACACCTTTCCCTCCATGGTAGAGTATATTACCATGAGGGGGGTGGGTGCATCATCATGGTTAAGCATATTACCACAATGGAGTGCATCACCATGATGGAGTGCATCAGCATAGTGAAGTATATGTATTACCATGATAGAGTGCATCACCATGATAGAGAGGCAAATAGAGATTTCTTCCTTAAGCTGTTTCTTGTCAGGTTCTTAGTTACTTTTCTCTTTGCTGTCACCAATATAACCTGAGGGCCCTCTCTTCTCATGCATGCTAATGTTAGGAGAGCAATCACAGATCAAGATGCCATAACACCATGCTTTCCTTTCTAAGTAGAAGTTCTCAGCATTGTTCAGTAGCATTAGTCCCCTGGGTAGTTCTGGGAGGGATTGATCATTTTATATGCCAGTCATATTCTCTTCCATGTATATTTTAGGAGTGAACTGCTCACTATACTCTTGTCAATGGAGCACCCCTGACTTCAGGTGCCAGTTCCATTTACTCTTCATGGTAACACTATCATCAATTAGGGGCTGTCCTTCCACGGGTCAGACAGTGGTCTATGCACAAGGCAGGTGCAATCAAAACCTTTACCACCACTGAGTCAGATTTCTGTCACTCTCACAGGTTTATTACAAGGGCACAAATGATATCATGGCCCTGCCTATTTTGTTTCTTAGATTGACCTGGCTCTCTCCTTGGGATTTTATTACTTGTGAGGTGTCACTGAAAATTACTCATGTCCTTTGATTTCTTGAGATTGCCATGCTTGGCTTTTTATCCACTGAACCACATTCCCCTTTGACAATTCTATTCTTCCTTGTTCTCTAGTAACTCTGTGAGACTTTGGTAGTCACAATGTAAATAGAAATAGGGGATACATTTGTTATGAATAATTGCAAATAGACTTATCAGAGAAGATTTTGCATAATCCTTACTGTGTTATGAGTTAAAGGTTGACTGAATTAGTATTATGACCTCAGGAGGTAGGTCTGGAGAGAAAATTGTAGTCTGAGACCAACACTGAAGACTGGATATATTGAAAAACTGGAATATTAAATATCTAGAGAAGTTTAAAGTCCATTAAAACTTTCTCCTGAATTTTTAATTGTTATTTCTTTGACAATAATATATCTTTATCTATCTATCTATCTATTGACTAAATATCAAATATAGGTGACTAATGAGAGGTTAAGACAAAATTAAATTTTAAGTAGGCAGTGCTAACAGAACAGGGATGAAACTCCTGTGGTATTTTTCTAGAAAATTAACCATTAGTACTTGCTATCATGGTTAGGGTAAATTATGTTCATAGCTGTATGGAGAGGGCTTGGACCTAAGATTCTATTCTATCCTTGAGCACCAATAGTTCTTTTTAAAGGGACACAAGCTTTGCCAAAGAGCAGTATAGCACATGAATGCTATGGAGATGAGTACTTGCAGGTTTAACTTCTGCAGATCAAGTAGGTCGATTTGATGTTTCCAAGGAACCTACATGGAGTTTCTATTAAAAATGTTCCTCATCCTATTTGAGTTCTCAGGGACATTTGTTTTAAATGAGGCATCTTTAGATACCCCTAAAAATCAGTGCAGGCCTAAGATTGCATGGGATCTCAAACAATCACAGACTGGCCTACATAATGCCACAGATTTTCCAGCTGCTTCAGTGATGCTGAGGAATTCAAAATGATTATATGAGTGTTCCATAAAATCAAAGATGACACCAGTTCCTGAGTAAATTGAAAGAGGATACAAATGAACAGCTTGTTGACAAGTACAATACTATACAGGACCTAAATAGACTAGAGGACAAGGAGGAGAAATTCAATGAAGAGACTGAAATAAAGAAAATAGAAAATTGAGAGCAAAATGAAATGAAACCTTCAATTAAGTTAAAGAAAAAACTCACCAATAGCCTCAAGAACAGAGTGGATCAAGGAGAAGACAGACTATCAGAGTTTGAAGACAAAGTAGATGATTAGAACATTCAGACAGCAAAGACAAAACACTCGGAGTTTGACCAGAAAATGTGAGATGTACAGAACTTCATTAAAAGACAGAACTTATGGATCACAATTGAAATACAAGCTAATGGCATGGAAAAGCTCAAATAAAACCATAATAGAAAGTTCTGCAAATCTAGGGTGAGGGGCATCTAAATACAGGAGACCTATAGAATGGCAGACTGAGACAAACTGCACTAGCAACAACCACCACCATCTCCCCAAAACTAGACAAAAACGATGAGACAAGAACCTGCACACATTTTACTGTTTAAACAGGAAGTAAATAAAACAGTTACAAAAGCCACAAGAGAGAAGCACAAAATCACATATAAAGGCAAATCTGTGGTGATATTTGTATGTTAATAAATAAAGTTTGCCTGGAGACCAGAGGTCATAGCCAGCCATAAACAGAAGTCAGGCAGTGTTAGCACATGCCCTTAATCCGATCACATGGCAGGCCGAGTCTCTGTGTGGTCAAGGACACAGCCAAGAGTGGTGACACATGCCTTTAATCCCAGTACCAACCATAGAGACCTGGAGGTCTGCATAGACAGGCATTGACAAGGAAGTGATGTGGCTGGGCTTAGAGCCAATGAGAAGGCAGAACAGCAAGGCAATAAAGTCACAGGTTAGACAGAAAGAAGCTGGTTCAGTTCTCTTGGGAAGCTATGGTGGCGTGGTAAGCTAAGTTTAGTTTGGTGGCTATCACTATCACTCTGATCTCTATGGCTTTAACCCCTATATTTGGCTCTGTATTTCTTATTTAGTAAGACTGTTTAGAAATTCGTCTACACAAATCCATCAAAATAATAACAGAGTCACCAACAGATAGCCTAAAATGCAGGAAACCATAGAATAATGTATTTTAATCTTTGAAACACAACTTTCAATATGGAATACTGTGTCCATCATGAAATATAAAGAAAAACATTATACAATAAACACAAAATAAAGAAACTCATAACCACTGAGCGAGCACTGCATAACACTTGAAAGAATCTCCCATACTAAACAGGTCAGGAAGAGGAATAAACCACAGCAGAACAGTACATTAGCAAGCAAGCATTAAAGAAGTACCAAACACCATAAAATAAACTGTAGTTGGTTGGTTGTTTTTACTCTCAGTTCGTTTGGTGGCCCACCACCCGTTCCCAAATAAATCTCACACATAGGCTTATGCTTAATTATAAGGGCCTGGCTTTAGCTTGGCTTATTTCTAGCCAGCTTTTCTTAACTAATTATTTCATCTACCCTTTGCCTCTGGGTTTTTACCTTTCTCTTACTTCTGTATATCTTACTTTCACTCTTACTCCGTGGCTTACTGTGTGGCTGTGTGGCTGGCCCCTAGCATCCTCCTCTCCTTATTCTCTTGCTCCTTGCTTCTTTTCCTCTCAGATTTCTCCTTCTATGTATTCTCTCTGCCTGCCAGTCCCACCTATCCTTTTTCCTGCCTTACTATTGGCCATTCACGTCTTTGTTAGGTCATCAGATGTTTTAAACACACAAAGTAACACAGCTTCACAGAGTTAAACAAATGCAACATAAAAGAATGCAACACATCTT